CTTTAATTACATAAAATCCAAGTTATCTTCCAAAATTAACATCTTGCGGAAATTTAAGTTTACTTTAGATCGCAAAAGTCTTCAAACTATGTATTTCTCTTTCATTCGACCTATATTAGAGTACGGGGACATTATTTGGGACTGTCTAACTAAAGCCCAATCCGACTTGTTGGAAGATCTCCAATTAGAAGCAGCTAGAATTGTAACTGGGGGTACTAGACTAACTAGCAGAGTAAAATTGTATATTGAAACGAACTGGTTGCCACTCGAACAAAGACGTAAATATCACAAAATTATTTGTTTTCATAAAATGGAGCACGGTCTCGCTCCGCAATACTTACAGAATATTCTTCCACAACGAAACAATCATATTCACGACCATAATACCCGAGTTGGCAGCAACTTTCGCCCAATTTCCTGTCGTACTAATTTATATAGTAAATCATTTCTTCCTTCTGTTATTGTACTCTGGAACTCTTTGCCAGACCAAATAAAAAATGACCTATCGATTTTCAAACTGAAAAATCACCTCTTTGATTATTCACATAAAGTTCCACTGTTCTACTATATCGGAAGCAGGATGGGTCAGATTCACCATTCTAGATTAAGAATGGAATGTAGCTCTTTAAAATTTTACTTATACCGTAGAAATCTTATTGATAGTCCTTTATGTTCATGTATGGAAAACGAGGAGACTAATGATCATTATCTGTTACATTGCCGTCTTTTCTCTCGATTTTGTTTACGTTCCTTTTCTACAATAAATCGTCCAATAACTACTAAACTGTTACTATTCGGTGATGACGAGCTGTCATATGACGAAAATGCATTAATTTTTTCATGTACTCAGGATTATATCCTTAACTCCAAAAGATTTGAATGATGTCTCTTTTCTCCAATACATTCATGTCTGGGTCGGTCTTTACTGTGTTTTCATAGTAAATTCTGTACTTGAGGTATAACTGAGCAACGCACCCCCCCCCCCTCTTCCCCCCTTTTATTTTCTTTTTGTTCTTTATCTATAAGATAGCATATTGATTTATTTTTTCTCACATATTATCTTATAATGACAGCCTACGTCCTCAATTCCGCATGCGTCTCTTCTAACTGGAGATGGATTAATATAAGTTGTCAAACTTGTTTCCAAATCCAATTTCAATTGTTATTTGATGCAACTATGTACATTGTAAAGAGAAAAAATGAAATAAAATAAAGTTTACAAGAAGAATTTCACGAAGCAGAAGCTTAATATTATCGGAGTTACTTCCCCTACATAAAGATTCAAACTTTAAAGCGTTCCGACGACTTTGACAGAAACCGCCTTTGCAGACGACAGAGGAATAGAAGAGGAGGGAAATTTCCGCGCAAAATGGTGTGATAGATGTATTTAAGATGCAAATTGACGTAACTTTTGTGTAATATTTATAAATGATGACATTGAGAGAAAAAAATCAGGTTAAAGCATAGACTTTCAAATCTGTAGTCCGTGGTTAAACAGTTTGGGCATGGATATAGCTCCAGTCCCGCCTGTACGTGGTATGTACATGGGATGGGGCACCGCCTTAAATCGTCAGAGAACATATATTTTACGTCCCTGTAGTCAGTAACACACGAGTCTGATGTTCCGTCAATAAGGTTATTTGTTAATATGAAAAAGACCCAAGCTTTAAAATGAGCTGCTTATTAATTGCGTATGTATTTATAATTACTACAAATGACAAATGTGCGTTGTATCTGGATAAAATAAGTCATAATCAAAGCAATTAAAAAGTAGGAGTCATTCCACGTAAGGTAACTCTTATGTTTTATATAATTACTGATTGGGTTTGTTTTCGCCTACAGTTCACATACTGTGTTGTCATCTTGCAAACAATGCACAATGTTGACGTGTGCTTTTTGATAATTACAAACTCAATACCCAAGTACCAGGATATTTACATAGACACTTCAAATCAACACATACAATTATTCTGTCAATAAATTAAATGAAAATATATTATCATCAAGCAAACATGGAATACTTTTGTGTGATGATATAAGGGAGGTAACTCTGACAGACAACAACTCTTTTATCACTCTAGAATAATATTCTGCATCTAGATTTGTTAGTTATTACAACATAAAGACTAAAATACTTTATTTCGAATAATTAAGTTGTATTTATATATTTACCCAAACTACATTTAGTGTACTATAATAAAAACACCAGGAACAAAATGTATTATGGAACAAAACTCAGTCTGTTAAAAAAGTCAACATTGGGGCCAGGTGTCTGCTAAAATGTGTAAGCATTTTTCATGATTCATTATCCTATGTTACCACACCATCATCAAATGGGTTGGCTTTTCAAAACACCCTACATCCATGGTCTTTCATCTGTCTGTCTGTAAACAATGTTCTTAAGTGTATTTCTTGAGAAGTACTGGATTTCAGATGTAGGTTACCAATGGTCCCTAGTTGTGCCTATTTGATTTTGGGTCTATTCCGGATTTTGACTTTGAAAGTTTGTTGTTATTTATTGAGAAATACTTCAAAGAACTTTCTCACCTTTCATGTATAAGCTCCTCTTGTTCTTTAGTTGTGCCCATTTGATTTTGGGACTGATCCAAAACATAAAATGGCCAACAGACAGCCATCTTGGGATTTCACCGAATAAAGATTGTTATCCCTATTTGTTAAGAAGTACTAAGTAGATTCCCAATGTCCCATATGATTTTAGGTTGGATCGGAAAGACTAAATGGCGTACATGCGGCCATCTTGGATTTTGTCAAGAAAATTTTATTGCTGCTATTTCTTCAGAAGTACTGGGTGGATTTCTCTCAGATTTCCTATATAGGTTTCCCTTTTTCCCTAGACTGATCAGAAAAAAAAATGTTTTGAAAGTTTTTTATCACTATTTCTAGATATCTAATGCATAGATCTTTCTCAAATTTCATGTGTATATTTCCTTTGATCCTTAGTTGTGCCTGTTTGATTTTTGTACTGGTAAGAAAAAGAAAATGGCGAACAGGTGGCCATCTTGGAATTTGATTTTATAAAGTGTTTTATCGCTATTTCTAGCAAATTGATCCATAGATCTTTTCAAATTTTATGTATAGGGTCCTCTTTGTTCCGAGTTGTGCTTGTTTGAGTTCGGGACTGATCAGAAAAACGAAATGGCTTCCAGGCAAACATCTTGGATTTGGCAGGTAAAGATTATCATTGCTATTTCTGCAAAGGAATGCTCAAATTTCTTATCGTTAAGAGCAAAATCAGAAAAGATAAGAGAGAAGAAGGGAAAAGATCCTCTGGGACCTCGTGTATTTTTAACACAAATTTTTTTTCTTGAACAGCATTTTGATTCAACAGTATTTCAAAACCTTGTTGCCTTTTGTTCTTTCAGCATTTTATTTCACTTTCAGTTTTTAACCCATCTCTTAAAACTTGTGTTTTAATTAATCACAAAACATAGCACTGTTCACCCTCTTGGCATTTTGACTCATTATTACCATTTCCAATGTTTTTGTATTCATTTTCATTTATTTTTTTAAAGTACAGTTTACAGGTATAGGTATAATAATTAAATTTTTATAGACATAAAAAACACAAAATTAACGATTTTGACTTCAACAGCCATTTTCAGCCCAAATGCTTGGTTATACACATATTACAAACATTGAAAGTATTTATTCAACCTTTTACATGAACCTTGACTTGGGGAAATGTAATCAACGCAAAAATGTAAGTTTCAGGATTGTCTATTTCACGACACTTCAAGGGTGCAAATGCACTATAATAGGGGTGTTTGTTTCATTGGATCAACATAGTTACAACTGGAGGCTCAATCTGGAATGGCTTTAAAAACATCTGATTTGATTAATTAATGTACAAGTTCTACTGCTCTGAGACCAATTTGTCCATTTGTCATCAGTCTGTTCCTCTGTCTTCTGGCCTTTAGGAAAAGCCACTTCTCCAGAAAGGATAATGATATTACAGATGCAGGACTTCCATATTCCCCTGGTTGGTTTGATTTTATATCAATATATGGAGTAAATCATTTGATGTATTTTGTATTGTAATTGTGTTAAGTTTGGTGAAATTGTATTTCCTGAACAGCATATTTATTTTTACAAAAAGTTGATGCCTTTTTGTTCAGTATTGAATTTTTTTTTATGAGATCTCTCTCAACTTTAAAGCAGCATTACTTAACAGAATTTAGGCATGACAATATTTAGAAGAGTTATTTCCCTTAGTTATTTTAAGTATTTGAATCTAGTTCCATTATTTCCTTTTTAGCTCACCTAGTGCGAAAGACCTATGGGCCTCTTGTTTATTACTTGACAGCTTTTGTTCTCTTTAAAACTTTAAATGGTTTTTCAAAAATTTATGTATTGCAGTTTTCTCCCATTGTTTAATGACTAGACAAGTTTTTTTTTTTTTGGTCTTTTTAGTAGTCTTTATTAAAATAACATAAACTGTGTTATTCCAGTGACATATTGATAAGGAATGTTTACTTTATTGCTACAGTTGTATTTATTTTGGTAAATGATGTACATGTATTTCTCTTAAATGGCATGAAAAGGATGTATATTATTCTGACTTGCGATACTTTTGTAAGCATGCATCAGGAATTAATGGTACAATATTTTCCCAATGTTTTTCATTTGCTTTTTGTAGTTGATCTGTGCTGTATATATATTGGTCCTACAATACTGATAGTTTCCCTTATCCATTGGTACATAAGAGGTTTCCAAAAGTAGATTTTTGGCAATTTTTTTATTACAATCAAATGAAAAACAAACACAAAAAAAATTAAAAACAAAAAACAGCAAAATAAACAAACAAATAATTTTGAAAAACAAACAAAAAATTGACAAAAAAACCCAAAGTAAAACATACAAATAATGAACAATTTTCTTTTATAAGCTGATGCAGTAAGTTTGAGGTAAACTATAAAATGCCTGGACTACATCAAGCAAACATAACACAATTTCATTATGTTTCCTTATCTATTGAATAGGTTAAAGATAGCAGTGTGGTGAGTCACAGTTGGTGATGAAACAGAAAGCACTTGTCCAGTAGAAAATTTGGTAAAACATTTGGTAAGTGGTGTGGAAAATTGATTGATCTGTGATATTATGATCTAAGAACCAGAACAATCACACGTCCTCAGTAAGTATGATCTCGTACCTGGTTGATAATCAAAGCCGAAGACAATAATCGCTTGTTAGGCAATTGTGTTTTATCCATTGTCTTGTGCCAACCGCCATGTACCATGCATAAACTTTCCATTCCAATGACTTCTTAATAAGCAAAAGGCCCAGGGTTCTTATATTTCGCCTGTAGCATGATGGGATGAAATGCTACCAAGTTTGTTAAAATTATTGACTGACTTTCAACGTCACAGGGGTCAAATATGTTGAAATCTTGTAAACAACTTCTTCCCAGTAACCAATAAATCAGGGTGCTGATATTGGACCTGTAGCATGCAATGAGAACGGGCTACCTTGTTAAAATAAATGGCCTTGACCCACTTTCAAGGTCATATGGGTCAAATATGTTGAAATCTTTAACAACTTTATCATATACCAAAAGGCTGATATTGGGTCTGTGGCATGCTGGGCTGAAGGGTTTACCATTTGAGTTCATTTGATTGACCTTGTTTTAAAGGTCACAGGGGTGAAATATGGTAAAATTGTTAACCGAAAGGTCCAGGCTCTTGATATTGGATCTTTATCATAGTTTGATGATGAACTACCAAATTTATTCAAATGATTGACCACGATCTGCTTTCAAGATCTCTGGGGTCAAAGGGGTCGAGATCTTAATAATTTCTTTCAACAAGCAATAGGTCCGGGGTCATGGTATCTGTGTAGAAGCATGTATATGGAAGAGGATTTCAAGTTTTCAGAAAATATTTTTATGAACCTACAATGTCCTCTTTGTAAGCTTTAGAGTAGTTGAGCAATTCAGGCCTATTTGGCCTTTTTCTTATAGGTCTTTATACTCAGATGACTGTTAAGGCCTAGGGCCTCTTGTTATGTAATCTTCATATTACAAATTCTTTGTATGTTCAAGGATGGTTAGATATTGTTTTTGCTATTTTCAGAAATTTTGGTGACCTAATTTTGAAAAATTCATATCCAGCATGTTTTGCTGAAGGCATATATAAAAGGTGAGTTTTGCATGTAATTAATTTTGGGAATGTGTCCAAGCCGTATCACCTACACTACTTGTCACTAGTATGTCATATTTGCTGAGATGTGTCTTTTATCAAAAACAGGTCACTCTGTCTACATTTGACATTTAATCTGAATTAAAGAAAAAAGTTGTCCTACATTTCTAATCACTGGGACTTTATACTTCATGTATGGGTTCACATTGGTGAGGCTGTGTGTTTGTAGAAAACCAAATTATCTTGTTATGAATGCTGTATGAGGTGCCATGATTTCACCCAATCTTACATATATAATGTTTGTGTACCTTTCATTAGCCCACCATCTAATGATGGTGGGTTATTTAAAATGCCCTATGTCTGTGATCTGTGTATTTCTTTAGAGATCAAATTTAATATGTAGGTTTTCCTTAGTCACAAGTTGTGCCTTTTTGTCTTTTTCTTTTGTGATTGATCAGTAGAAACAAAATGGCTGTTAACAGCTGGTGGCCATCTTGGATTTTGACAATGAAAGTTTGTTATTACTATTTCTTGATGAAGTAATGATTGAAACTTTGTTGAATCTCATCTGTAGTTCCACTTGGTCCCTTGTTTTGCTATTTTGATTTAGGGACTGATTAAAAAACACAGTGGGTGATAAGTAGCCATCTTGGAATTTTTGCTAAGAAAAATAATTTCTCTTTCTTGAGAATTACTGGATGGATCTTTCTCAAATTCCATATGTAGGTTTCTGTTTGGCCCCTAGTTTTGCCTTTTTATTTTGGAACTGGTCAGAGAAACAACATGGTTGACAGATATCTTTCATTCATTTCTTTATTCCTCCAAAAGATGAAGAGTTACAAATAAATGAAAAAGATATTAACATATTTTAAGATACATGTACACAAGATAGTGAGATTAGTTGTCGATCAAATAAAGAAGTAAATATCCAGAAAGAGAAAGTGAGCAATTAAATTACTAAAGCATTCCAAATGACACCAATGCAGTCGATGATAGCAACCTTTTATCAAAAGAAGTTACTGAAATGTAAGGCGAGACACCTTTTCGGAGAACACACAACAATCACGTAAAAAGTGGAAGAAAAGGTCATCGTATCCTCCGAAAATGTCTTGAATATTTTCGGGAGGAGAACAGAGAAATGTGGCTACCTGAGCCTCACGAGAAGCCTGGTCAACAGTTATATAAACATGTACAGGGTAATCATTTACAATTTTGGTAAATATATCATCACGTAGAGACAAAATATCTATATGTGAGCAGTCTAATAAACAATGTGCGACTGCGTCATTTACAAACGTGCTGCACTTTGCACACATTAGCTGACAAGAAGGAGACATAGTCCATAATTTAGCAACGCTAGCACAAATGTTATCCAAAGATGGGAAACGTTTTGAAAGAAGCCAGATATTTGAAGGCCTAATTTCGATTTGCAAATAGTTAAACCTAGAAAAGTCACTGCTGAGAAGAAGACGTTGTTTCCAGTCAGTAGTGTAATTACGCAATAAGACATTTTTTGTCAAAAATTTCCATTTTTGTTTCGATGGAAAGTACCCTGATTGCAAAAATGTATGTAACACATCAAGTAAATCATGCTCATGAAATATGTTCAAAACATCTGAGACAAGATCTTTTTCTTCTTTACAGACTTCAAAATAACTATGAAAAAGACGAAGCATAAACAATCTTTTAGCGGAAAAATGAGTATCAAGTCTACATAGACTAGCAAAAAAACGAAGTTTGGCTAAATCGACCTCGACTTGTATAGAAGTAAGACCTAACATGCTTAGAGCGATGTCTGAACGTGTGCGACGAGAGAACCTTTGAATGAGTTTTGCACAAAGGTGATGTACAGTTTCAATGCGAGACCAGTCTGAATCTGTCAGAGAAAACCAGAGTTCACAGCCGAAGAGGCATCTTGGCATAACAACAGACTTGTATAATTTCACACCCGTGATAGGGTTCATACCAGTATCAAAAAAGTTGCAGTTAAGTAGCGCAAAACATTGACTGCGTAGCCTGTTAACAATGTCATGGATATCTGGAGATCCAATTTTGAACTTGTTAAGAAAAATGCCGACATGTTTCGTATTGGCTGACTCCGAAACAATCCCATTACCCAGAACCCATTTTCGGGTGTTTTTGGAATAGGCATTTTTGCTTTCATTAAAGACAATGACAGTTGACTTAGATGCATTATACATAAAACGCCACTTAATGCTGTACGCATAGCAGACATCCATAAGATTGTCCAGGCCACGTTTACAAAGTGAGAGCAATGTGATATCGTCGGCTTGCGTCGGGCAAGTGACGTTGGTGCCATGGATAGAAAATGAATAACTTGATGAGCACAGTTCATTCAGTAAATCATTAATAAAAACAGTGTACAGCCAAGGGGAGATAATGCTTCCCTGACGCGTGCCCTGGCAAACTTTGAACCAATCGGAAACAAACCCTTGATGAAGAACGGCACTAAACATATTTTCGTATAGTGAAGCAATAATATGGACGAATTTCGAGTTAAAACCAATATTAGCCAATTTAAACAAAAGGCCATTATGCCAGACGCAATCAAAGGCTTTGGCAGCGTCAAGGAAGCAAGCAAACAACTTACTTTCGTTTTCACGGGCATAGGAAATCGATTCATGTACTAAGAAAGAGGTCATTGTACTACTGACATTCTTTTGAAAACCATTTTGCAAAGGATTAATCTTGAAGAGATCTGTTGCCTCTAAACGCACCAGTAGTAATTTTTCAAAAACTTTTGAAAGAACAGGAAGTAAGGAAATTGCTCGATAACTATCAGGGTCACATTTAGGTTTGTTATGACCTTTGTATAAAGTACAAATAAGCCCCTTGGTGAGCAAAGGTGGAACATATTCTAATCTGTGGAAGGCGTTGAACAACATGCATAGGCAATAGTACAAAATATCATCAGCAAAAATTAAGTGTTCATAGACTATGTGATCATATCCCGCCGCCTTGCCTGTAGGGAGTGTCTTGCAGACGCGTTTGACCTCATCCAAAGAGAAATCTTCAAAAGAGACATTACCTAAATCATGGGTAGAAAGAATACGTTTTACAGAGTCGTCAATTTTTTCCTTAAACTGGGCATCGAAACACTCGCAGGATGAATAGGAATAAACATCTGCAAAATATTTTCCCCAGTGAAGCGCAAGTCGGCTAGGATCTCGGATAACGTCGCCGTTAAAATTCATTTCAGCCCCAGCGACGCCCGATGTTTTTGAGCAACGTTTTCTTACCATCGACCAAAAAGACTTCTGATTCAGATCAGCATAGTTTTCAATTTCAGTATTTAAATTAACAATGTGTTCCTCGGACACCTGTCTGTGTCTGTTTCTGAAAACACGTTTGGCTTCCTTATAATTACGGTAGGATAAGGAATTACGGGGTCGACCTTGACTGACCCACACTTGACGACACTTCCACATGTTACGATGAAGATCTCTGAGCTTATCGTTCCAATAAGGTTTCAAGAATTTACAAAATTTACGTTTTGGCAAAGTATGCTCTGATGCTTTTAGCAAACACGACAGAAGCTCGCGTGAGTAATCGTCAACCGCTTCCTTGGAATTAAATTCCTGTACAGTGTGGAGGGATGAAAGATTGATACGTGAGACAAGATCTTGACGGTAGTCATCAACATTCCTTGCGACTCCTGTGGTGATCCATTTGAAAGACAAACGATAGTGTTTTTCACAAGAATTTTCGTCTGAAGCCAACTTAGGAAATACCAATTCACAAATCATCGGTCTGTGGTTCGACACGTCAAGGTAACCACGTTCTAAAATAGAGCATTCACTCACAAGATCTAACAAGTTAGTGTTAATTATAATGTGGTCAATAAGGGAGGTAGGACCGTCCTTTGAGTGAACATATGAATGTAAAGGACCTTTACAGAGGTTGGAAGTTGACAGCGCAAACAACTGTAAACGGTCTAGACAATTTTGAAGAATTCTTCCACGTTGATCTTCGTATCCGGGAACACGTGAGCCTTGTAAACGGGCATTAAAATCCCCCATGATAATTACAGGGCCATACAAGGAAAGATTTTAAAGAACAAATTAAAATCAAACAGTGGTGTACACCAATATACCTGTAGGGTCTTTCATTATTTTATGAAAATGCAATTTTGTTTTTGTTACTTTAACAACTACAAATATATATAACAAGTCTTTTTTTTTCTTTTCAGATTTCACTGATCTTCACCATGGCAACACCCATCGGTCAAACCGCTTTCCGTCCTAAAGGTCAGAAAACATGTATTCAACATAAAGAGAAACCGCTGGAACTTTATTGTGAGAAATGTGATCAACTTATCTGCCTTACATGTTTACTATCAACTCACAAAGGTCATGATGTTTGTGAACTCAGTGCAATTACTCCTCAAAAGAAACAAAATATCAAAAGTTTTATTGATAAAACAGAACAAAATGACCTGAAACAAGTCAGGGAATATATATCTTCTGTGGATACACTCCTTAAAAACAACACCAGCAATTTTGAGGAATTTTCACTCAAGTTAAAATCTCAAACAGATAAAATTAAACAAGACCTTGATTTGCTTACAGCACAGACACTCTCAGTTTACAAACAGATGGAAGAGGACAATGCCAGGCTGATTCTAAAGTACAAAAAAGACCTGGAGACGTACAACAAGCAACTAAAACAACAACTACAGGAATGTAAGGTGGCCCTCCAGCAAGGTTCTCACCTGGAAATCTACGACACAGAGTGTGAAATACATCCGTCAATACATCTCCCAGTGAATCCTGTCCTGGGTACGGCCAGCTTCACACCTAACACAACTCCACAACATCATCTACAACTGGCCTTAGGGACAGTTACCACCTCAGGTCAAACATCAGCTGACCAGGATCGGTCAGTCTTAGCATCAGGTGACCAGGAACAATCCTCTAAACAACAACAAACAGGAGTAAAAGGGAAGAAAGCAGTGATAAGTAAAACACCACTGTCAGAGACCAAAGTGGTGAAGGAGTGGGAGTCTCCATGTAACATTGGGTCTATATGTCCCACCACTGATGGTCAGGTGTGGACCAGTAATTACACTGATACATTAACTCTCCTTAACAGGGAAGGTAAAGTAGTACAGAAGGTCAAACACACGGCTGGCATCAGAGACATCAGTCTATCACCCACAACACACACACTGTGGGTCTGTGACAGACAAAACAACATCATGGAGCTGGTATCAGGACGACTTACAAACAAATTCAGAACCAAGGAGACACCCTTGTGTATATGTGTTACAGCCAGTAACCATATCATTGTGGGGATGGACAAACACATCTGTAAATTTACTACACAAGGTCAAATGGTACTCACTACAATGGCTGTAGGGACTGGGAAACCATTAGTGTATTCACCATGGAGGATGTCAGAGTGTCCAGTAACTCACAATGTCACAGTGACTGATTTCAACTATGAAAGTGACGGTGGTGATGGAAAGGAACGTGTTGTTGTCATGGATACTGACTTCCAGGAAGTGTTTGTATATAGAGGTGACATCCCCAGTACATATAAACAAACACCACAAACAGGACGTGTAAGATTTGACCCCAGGGATGTGGTGTATGACAGTGTGGGGAACCTCATCATAAGGGACAGGGACAGCTGTAGGGTCCTACTCCTCAGTGGAGGTGGTGAGTTCCTCAGGATCATATACACAGACAGAGTGGAGACATGGGCTGTAGGTATAGACAGGGACGATGTTCTGTGGGTAGTGTTTGGGGGTAACAATGTAAAACTACTACTACAGTACAGTGTGTGACAGTACTACTACAGTACAGTGTGTGACAGTACTACTACAGTACAGTGTGTGACAGTACTACTACAGTACAGTGTGTGACAGTACTACTACAGTACAGCAGTGTGTAACAGTACTACTACAGTACAGTGTGTGACAGTACTACTACAGTACAGTGTGTGACAGTACTACTACAGTACAGTGTGTGACAGTATTACTACAGTACAGTGTGTGACAGTACTACTACAGTACAGTGTGTGACAGTACTACTACAGTACAGTGTGTGACAGTACTACTGCAGTACAGTGTGTGACAGTACTACTGCAGTACAGTGTGTGACAGTACTACTGCAGTACAGTGTGTAACAGTATTACTACAGTACAGCGTGTAACAGTACTACTGCAGTACAGCAGTGTGTAACAGTATTACTACAGTACAGCGTGTAACAGTACTACTGCAGTACAGCAGTGTGTAACAGTATTACTACAGTACAGCGTGTAACAGTACTACTGCAGTACAGCAGTGTGTAACAGTACTACTACAGTACAGTGTGTAACAGTACTACTGCAGTACAGCAGTGTGTAACAGTATTACTACAGTACAGTGTGTTACAGTACTTCTCCTTTAAATTATCCAATAGGATAATAATAACAACAACCATTAACTGTATTTTCACAGCGACAGAGGGTACCGCATGATTTATTGCCACATAATTTAGTATTTAACAGAAACATGTATTGTTCTTCATAAGCACGCGCAATTTGCTTTTATTTGAAAACAACTTCAATGATTAAATACTGTTTTTCACTTAATAGCAAACGAAATTATCAAAATTCATTTCAATTGATTTTTATTAAAATTCTTCCCACAAAACTTAATAAGCTTAGAGGAAAAAATCCTTACACCTACGCAAAACAAAAAAAAATTTGCGTGTGCACCGCGCTACCCGAGTCGCCTGAATGACGGACCAGGGTACCAGGACACATGTATTAACACGACCCGCACGTGCTAATACACAACACGCCACCTATTGGAAAAACATAACACGGAGAAATTCATTTCATCCTTATTCCCCAGTCAAACGGATGGAATTATATTTCTCCTTTAAATTATCCAATAGGATAATAATAACAACAACCATTAACTATAGGAGAAAGACATCGGTGGCACGGGATGTGATAGACAATAGATTAGTTTGAACGACAAGAACAGTGGATCAGTATTTATAATGATGATTGTGTTAGACAACATAACTTATTGTTCTTAGTAAGAATTATATGTATATGTTGTTTTTGTAACTCTCTCTCTCTCTCTCTCTCTCTCTGTGTGTGTGTGTGTGTTTATGATTGTATATATATGTATATATAACAATAGGCCATCATCAACATTTATATTAAATACTAATTACTTGGAACGGGTTTAGTATAAGTTGGAAAACTTGTGCCCAATCCTTTATGTATATTTATATGCAATAAAATATGTTTAAATCAACTGTATTTTCACAGCGACAGAGGGTACCGCATGAAGAATAAAGAACGGGGAATGTCTCCCAAAAGTACTAGATACGCCCCCAAACAGATTATAGGATCCATTTAGGAAAGTCACAAGTTCAGATGCCTAGAAACATTCAACCGTTCATGAAAATTGTCTTCAATATACCCGTCCTTCGCCGTTTCCGATCTCCAGCGCCCGTGGCGTTTAAACAACCTATCCGGTATACCAGCGTTGGCAGCAGCTGAAGCTCCTCCCGCACGAAGGCTGTGTAAACCAAACTTCTTGATATCCGGAACCACTGAAGAAAACGCCTGAATGAAATGTTCTCTGAACCTCGAATACAACATAGGCTTATTAAGCTTCCTGAGCACATAACTACCAGTTTCCAACTTAGTAAGGTTCCTAAACACAAACTCCCCAGAATCATCCGATATACCAGCCAGCTTCACATACAGCTCAAAATTACATACCGGACACAACCGCGATCCAGTCCTACTAACTATTATCCAAGAACCGTCCCGATACACATCTGTCTTTGAATGTTCAATGAAAATTTCCATGTGTGAAGTGCGTATTTGTATATCAGACCTCCTCAATGCAAGTACCTCTGCGCTCCTCATAAAACCTGCGTAAGCAAACAAACACATCGTAATGATTCTCTGGTTATACAAATTATTTTTATCAAACATCCTATCATATACAGCATTAAGCTTTGATATAGTTATTGCCTGTTTTTTTCTGCACTGGCTTAGCTAACAACCTTTTTGTCCCTTCAAACACATTCCGTACTAATGTAGACACAGTAGGGGATACTTTCCCAACAATATCATGAGCCCACTTAACACCATACATAGCGTCCGTTAAAGAACCAGTCGTTCCATTGTTCTTCACCAAAAATGATATATATATACACAGATGAAAAGGTTTTACAGGGAAGATATATTCTTCCTCAAAATTGTTCTCCTTAGCCCACTTTTTCCAACGTAAATATCCATAGCAGTACTTCCTAACCGTACTCTCAGCTTTACAATGCTGAAGTAGCTCAGGTACACCCAAAGCGTAATCCTTAAGGTGATCCGGAACCATAGAACATTCCTCTCTCAACACAGACGTCTGTAACGAACGACGTCTCGCGACCCGCTAGTGGCCGCCCCGCGGACGTCACCTCTGTAGTTACAATAATAAAAGTGCCCAATGGGTTCGACTGCCGCTTTCGCTTGCAGATTTCACTAACAAATTTCGACCAAGTACTGGCAATAATGACGAGAAGAATTAAACAGATTCAACAATTTATTATATATTTTACAAGAGTAAAGTTTAGCATGAAAGACATTTAACCGGCTCAGTGAGTGTTTTTAATTAACCCTAACAATGTACAGAAGCCACCTGAAATAAACAAACTTTTACCTAAACTAACTACCAGGCAGGAACCAATGTCGTGGTTGTCGGAATTCTCTAGCTAAATTAACTCTCGGCCCACGGAATCTGACACCGTTCCTCGGAGCGAGTCTCAAACCTCGCCGAACGGACAAATCTCCGCCACGTGACCGACTCCAAATTTACAAAGTCCAACTCAACACTACCGCCTTCTCCTACGTTCGTCTTGGCGAGGGGGGCACACAAAATTAGCCTCACCGAACGAGAGAAAACTACTCCCCGAGAATACCAATTCTCGAATTATCCACTATTTAACAAAATTTCAACAGCTAGCGAACGTTCCCCTCAATCACGACACGAGGTTCCCGCCAAAACTTAAGTCTGCATAAATCGAAAAATATACCAAATTACACGGTCGGAAATCAAACCTATCGGGTTGTAGGTGGCAACTGATGTTTAGTAAACCATTTTATAACATTTTAGGGAAGAGATGGGCGCTGACAACACAAAAATCTAACAGATTACCCTGCCTGAATTTCAATACCGACCTATCGTATCTTGGCCTCCAAAGGAAGAGACTGTGACGTCACTTTTTCTCCCAGAGTTCCTCGCTTCCTCGGACAGGGTTGTACCCACATTCCCGTTGTCTGTTCCATCAGATTATCTCATGGTATTCGAGGTTAGGCTATTAAACTAAAGGGGAATGAAAATCACACAAAAAACCTTTTGGTCAAAGTGTTTCATTTTCCGTTCCTCTTCAGTAGAAATTAAATACACTTTTTAAGTGAAATAGATTTACTTTCCTGCGGAAAACGCACGTTTGTTCTCTGTTCTGGTATCAAGTAAAAACATTTTTTGCGGTGACGTATTAAAACAATGTCATAAAACGGTTTACACATGTAAATGGTCGGAAGATGACGAGTACTCACAATAAAATTGTATACTTTATATCTAAGAAGTTATAGTTACAAGGTTCGTGTACTTTTTTTTAATAGAAACCAGATTGTGTCACTACCATCTGTTTGCTATGATATTGAAAATGTAGTTCTCATACAAGTAAGTAAAGTATTTCAAACTTAATTGAAAAGCTTGAGAACAAAAACCCCTGTAATTAGTAACACTTAATATAT